CCCTTATTAACACATCTCTTCTCGTTGAGATTTATGAACACAAACTGTACACCACACACAACAAAGCATCCTCGCTCTGACAAAGTGGGAGTTTATTGAAGCAGTTGACAGTTTGCAGCAGAGACTGCAAGAACAGCTGAGCCATAATGTCAACCACATTAAAGATAATTTGCCATAAAACAAATTCTAAAGCCATTAAATCTGTCATACAAATAATAAAATCAACAATAAAATAGATCCTCCACAATAAGTTGTAACCTTGACAATAAGATTTTAGCTACTAATAATGATATAACGCATTCGTCTACTTACACATTTTGGATATGGTTGAATATAATTATTTTGTTTGCATTTTTATTTTAATAAAACCTGGATCTCAGTTAAGACAAGTTAATTGTTTAGACCTGAAATAAATACTGACAGCTTATGTACCGACTGAAAATTTAAAACACAGTGGTCATTTTTTAAATCATTTTCAAAATATTTCTAAGTCTAATATGTATGAAAACAACTCATAATATTTCATTAATGTGGCTGTCATCAACAAAGTAAATATTTTGATACAGTTGATCGAGTAGTAAAAAAAAAAAAAAAGCTTTTGATAAAACATTTTTTCTGACCTGAAAAAATAAATTAAAGCATTGCTTTTACCTTTTTATCTGTTTTTGTTAGTTTTAATGGAGCTCCGTTGTGGAGCGAAGAGAGGAACTTGGAAATACTCGTGTCTGTCCATCCGTTCATCCCTCCATCTATCTGTTCATGTTGTGAGTACGATAACCTGAATTATCAGTGCGGAATCAACGGTCATTTTGGTGTGCGACTGCATTTAGGTGCAAGAAAGTTTGCTTTAAAAAAAAAAAAATGGGTAGCCACTTCAAATTCCAAGATGTCCACCACCACATGTCAAACCAAGCCAGAGTGGCAGCACAAAGGTTAAAGAAGGTGAGCTCATGATTGGAAAGTTGCCGGTTTGACTCCCCAGACCGACATCATAAAAAAAATTTGGATGGAAAAGCTGAAACACCAACACCTGCCTCCACCCTGATTTCCCCTACACTGGGTCATTGAGCACGGCACTTAACCCCCACCATCTACTGCCCCGGGCACAATAGATAGCAGCTCTCTGCTCTACACAGAGGGCTGTGGTAGTTTGGTGGTCTGTGGTTGTGTGAGGAAGGGCATCTGCGTAAAAACAATTACTAAGCCTTCATTCGCGATAGTTGACTGTGAGGAACCTGAGGAAGGGAGCAGCCGAAGGAAAAAGAAAAAGAAATCCATCCATCCATTATCTTTTACCCGCTTCTTCCATTTTTGGGTCACGGGGGTCACCAGTGCCCATGTCCAGCAATCACGTGCGAGGGGTGGGGTACACCCTGGACAGGTCGCAAGTCCATCACAAGGACATATATTATACAGTTCACTCTCTCACTCACACCTAGGGACAATTTAGAGTTACCAATCAGCCTAACATGCATGTTTTGGTCTGTGGGAGGAAACCGGAGTACCTGGAGAAAACTCACGCATGCACGGAGAGAACATGCAAACTCCACCCAGAAAAGCTCCCGGACTGGGATTTGAACCAGGGTAGCCTGCTCACTGAGAGGCAGAGGCTCTACCAACTGAGCCACCGTGCTGCTATATACTGTGTGTATATATGTATATACTGATATATACACATATATATATATATATATATA